ATTCAGTGGGCGCAGAGAGCAACTGCTCGATGGTGTGCCCGCGGGGGGCTTGCTCACCTGTGCCCCGCACTATCACAAGGGATGCTATGTGTACGGTCATAACCGAGGTAACAAACCATGGCTCACCCGCAACGGTTACTTCCAGACCGGAACTAGCAGCGAGACCAACACTCCGGAGGAAGTCTTCCCTGTTCAACGGTCCTGGGATTTCACAGCAGAACAAACGCCCATCGAGGGATCTGGTATCGACTAGGGCAAAGGGGGCAGCCGTAGCCCACTCAGGTATCGCGAGCAGGCTCACATGATCAAATGCTGGCTGCGGGTCGACTGGGATGAGGGAGCCCAAGGCAAATGTCCAGGAGGACTGCCGTCCATCCTGCACAGCACACAAAAGGTCCTCGACATCAAAAGGATGTGTGAGCTCGATGTGGACAACCTCAGCCTGATATCGGGGTGCGTACACCACCGCACACAATCGTGTTGCACCGAAAACGTCCCGCCTTGGAGTCGGACGCTCTTGTGCATTTACACTCGCTGAACCATCCAAAGGTGGCTCGGTGGTTTGGCGGTCTGCAACGGGAGCAAGCGGAATGGTGCGATGGAATGCATCATGGGGCATGCCATGGATGTCAGTGCCGGGCGGCAAGTTGGCAGGTTCCCTCACTGAGGCAGAGGGTGCCGTGACCGTCTCTGCATCGCCGGATGGGGCATCAGGCCGGCGCTTGATGATGACGGTGACCACAGCGTCGGCAGCAACCTGAACGTTGCCCTCTCGGATGGGCCCACCGTGAAGGTGCGCGGAACAACCCGCAGGGATATTGATTCCCAGAAATTGAAAAACCCCTTTACCTGGTAACACTTCACGGCTGGTGTAGGCAAATTGGATCATTCCACCTTCTGGCCGGCAGTCGAAGAACACAAATTGCCCCGTACCAGGGCCACCCTCATCGTCAACTTTGCGTGCGGCAGCAACGACACCAGGTAGAAGTGCACCGTACTGGACAAGTGGCGGCAGGCAAGGATCGGTTGGGAGCTGATGGAAAACGAGGTGTTCCTCCCGGTGGTGCATCGCACTAGCTGCATGCTGCCTCAATTCGTCATCGAAGTTTCCCTGATGGAGCACAATTCTGACAGTGTGCTCTGCGAGGATTCTCCAGGAGTCGCTTTCGACTTCTTTCCACATGTATCGGAAGTCCTCCGTGAGGAGGACTCGGTCTTTGAGGCATGTGGAGGTTGATACCCCCCAACTGGGAGCACTGTGCAAACTAACGACCCGAAAAACCGTACCAGAGGCGACTATTTCCCCGCAGTCCCTGATCGGGGCCGTGTGCCCAGCACAGAACACTAGGCAGGGCCCGTCAACATGCTGGGCAATGTGCTCGCGAAGGTCCGCCTCGGTGACGCGGGCCCAGGTCAAGAGGGCATAAACAGGCCCGTTCCATGCTGAAAAGTCGAGTACAATCACAACCTTGTCGCTTCCCCTAGCCCAGGCAGGAGCTATGACTGCTGTGATGTATCCCTCAGCCGGCTGGGGGTTTGCAAGGATTACCTCAGATTCAAAAGGCAGGGGGTCATCTGCAAGCTTTTCAGCAAAAGCCGACTCCAAATCTTCTGCCTCGACCGGGAAGGGAACTGTGGCGCGTACAATTCGAGACGGGTAACCATGTGCGAGCAGAAGGCCTTGCACTTCAACTGGTGGCTCAACCTTAGTGCTAAAAGCAGCCCAATCTGTAGAGCCCGCGGAGGGCACCTCTGATGCCCTGCTTTGCCCGTGAATGGCAGGAGCAAACGGGTCCGCAGCGCTTGCAACAGGAAGTTGCGCCAAGGCCAGTGCTGTGATGGAGGGGCCGTCAGGCGTCTCGGGCGCAGCAGCACATAGCTGCACATCAGAACCCAACAACATGTACAGGAGAGTACTCCAGAAACCGGAGCATCTTGCACGCCTCGGTTTCCTTTCACAGGGGGCCGACGCGCGCTTTCGCGTGGGCACATGCCACTTCAAAATTGGTTGGCTGGGAGTGGCACTGTATCCGACAGCAATAACAGCACGCAGAGGGAAATCTGTGAGGGGGAGTCTCAGACATCTTCCCAAGGGCTGATGCCTGCTCGGTGTTGGCCAAATCCAAAGTTTGCACAAACAGACAAAGAAGAGGCCATGCAAGGTGAGCAGGAAATTGTGAAGCTGAGGGAATTCCGAATCCTCAGAGGGAGGTGGCTGACAATCAACAACCAAGGTGTCCGCAGTTCGGGCCTGCGTCCCTGAGCAACCGATACGCATGTTGTGCGCTCCGGACTGCTGGACACCTACGCACCTGACTGCAGCTCCACTAACAGCAGGTTCGTTGCAAAACGGTGGACACTCGTGTGCTTGGGATGCCGCACACGCATGGGAGGCACTGCGGGGCCGTGGATTAGGGACCCTAAACCACAAAGGGAAGGAGGGTGGGCCTAAACCACAAGAAACCCCCAAAACTTGCTGGGCAAAGGGAGAGGGTCCACAATGCTGTCTGAAAGCAGGTGCTGAAGGAGCATCCGGAGAGGTCAATGCGATAGAGAGGGCTGACACGTTTCGGCATGATGGGCACGGGAGTGGGCCACGGGTCAGGTAACGACGCTGTGGAGATATAAGCCCAAATCCCACAGGTCGTTCCCGACGGAAAGAGAGGGAAGCACCCAGGCGGCCTGCAAAAACCCAATGCAGACACGTCTGGGAACCTCCTGGGAGATGGGTAGGTCCAGTTGCAGGCTGAGTGCATTCCTGTACAACTACACTACCGCTATCAACAATCTGCTCACTGAGCCCGCGAACGGAACCTCGCCCATCAGATAGGAGAAGCATCATGTCAGGATTGTGGCCTTGCCCGGGGTGCAACTCTGCCAACGAGTTCAGCCCGTCTGAACTCAGAAGACAAGGGCTCCTCAGGCGGCGGCAACCTTGAGATGCTCCCCCACTGGTAGGCGAGGTTAGGAACGCTAGGCAGTCCTTCCAGGATCGTCGTCTTCGTCGGCATCGGCGTCGATTGCATCCTGCATCGCAGCTGTCCCTGAGAAGGCATGGAGCCGAGCCTGGATCTCCTGGTCCGTGAGGAAGGGCACGTTCCCCTGGTCGGCGGAATTCTCGGCCAGAGTGCTTGGCTGGTGTGGTTCCGTATTCAGAACATGTCCGGCAAGACCAAAGGGTGCCAAGGCCTGCCGGCGCTGATCCAGCTTCTGTCCCAACGGCACACCGCCTGTAGGAGGGGGCCCCGTCGGAGGTCTCGTTTTCACAGAAACTCTCGCTCCATCTGGCCCCTTGAAGTGCTGGCTGGGGGACGGCAAGATGCCAGGTCCGCCGCTGGCACTGGGGCTTTGCAGATAGGGGTCCCTGCTGAGCACATTTGCATAACCTCCCGGTGGCGGCAGACCAGGTGCTAGCAAGGTAGGCGTAGGCAGGACGGAAGCCGGTGCCGCCATAGATGCAGCCTCCAGTGGAAATCCGGCACAAGCACTTCCAGTGTGCGCCGGCGCCGTCAGCCCTGGGGGTGCAAAGTCTGCACCTGGGATAACCAGTGGATTTCCAGTAGGAGCAGGGGCTTCGTGTCGTCCCTGCCCGTGTTGCCCACGAACAGGAGCCGAGGTCTCTCCGATCGCTCGCTGTAAGACCGAGTGTGCATCGAAACCGACCATGTCCTGACGGCCCTGGTCCACCATCATAGCGTATGCTCGGTCCGCCTCCTCCGTGGTTTCCTCCTCCTGTCCTCCGTCGTGGAAGATACGAGCCAAACCTGCACGGGCTCCGGCCTGTGTTGCCGTGGCCTTCTGCAGGTCCTCGCGGAGGCGCTCCATATCGCGGTGGAATCTCGTATACTCCTTGCGAAACGCATTCTTGTGCTCCACCTCGTAGGTCTTCCAAAGGCCCTCTCGGTCGGAGATCGCCTTGTGCAGAGCAAGCACTCGTTGCTCCGCTTTCCTGGCGGCATTGAGGGATGCCTGCAGGAGGCCAGTGAAACCATCCGGCTCGAGCTCCGGGTTGTTGGGGGCACCATCGCGGGGGCGGTCGCCCCCATTCTTGTTGTATCCACGCTTCCTGTCGTATGCAGGGAAAGCGTGGCCTTGCCCACCATCCTGCTTTCCATCTCCCTTCCAGCCCTTCTTCTTGGCACCACGCCAAAGCTGCCAAGAGCGTGGCGAGTAGTCTTCCCAACCTTCGTCCCATTTCTGGCCTCTTCCCATGTAGGATCGCTGCACAGCCCGTCCCGAGCCGTGGTGTAATGCCAGTCGTTTCCACTGAAGGTGGGATAGCTCGCGCCCGAAGCGGAGGGCGAGACGGGCCTTGGATCGTCGGCGTCTGCAACGCCTATGCCAGTTCGGGGAAGAAGGATGCTTCCCTATGGCTCACAATGGCGTGCTACGCCTGGGGCTGCAGTGTTCCGTCCTGTACGGCGATCTGAGCCCTATATATATATATATATATATATATATATATATATATATAGAAACCATAATAAGGAACCCTAAAACGGTAGGCCCTTTCGGTTGCAGGTAAACCCTAAACCAGCCCCAGACTCGGAAGTATATCCAAAACCGGATACACCCAAGCCTCCGAAGCCCACTGAACTGCCCGAGAACAAAGGAACTCTGAACAAAAATAGGAGTTTCCGAACATAGGGGACCCTAATATAGCACCCTACAAAGTAGGATCCTCATTATAACGACCCCAGAATAAGGTACCCCTAATTTTGGGAAAACCCCCAAATGCCGCGAGGGCGAAGCAAAACCAAGGGCCGAGGCGCCCCCTTGTCCTTTTAGAAACCATAGACAGAGCCCTATACCTGTATCCCTTCGTGGGAATTATTTAAGAAGGTCTACTAGCCGGGTTTGGGGGTTATAAGGCTTGGGTCGGGGTTTCTATGAGCTTTGAACCCTGACCTAACCCAAATACTGTACTCAGGAAAACGATCGAGCTGTCTGCTTATTCTTTTGGGGGAACCATGAAAAAGGACCAGGCTGGGCCGAGGCGCCCGTGGAGCTTCTCGAGGAGCCCTCGCTTCTGGGACTCCGGTATCCCGGCCATGGCGCTTCGTCAGATAAACCCTAAACCTTAAACCCTAAACCCTAAACCCCACCAGAACAGGGATTACAGGTCTTGAAACGGTTTTAGAGGGATTTCAGGTTTAGGAGTTTGGGTTTGCCAGGCTTTATCGGATTTCTAGGTCTTGTTCAGGTCGTAGATGCTTTCATAGAGTCGTATGAAACTTTTCTCGATTTTTTACCAGGTGGGACTTACAGTGTGTTTGCAGGTTTTGTGGGGATGGAGGGGTGGGAAAACAAGCTGACAGAGCTCGACAGCAGTTCAGACGGGTATGAGAATCTCGGGCTTCGGGCTCCAAGATAAAAGGAAAGGCCTCACAGTGCAGCGTTTTGCTTGGAGGTTCACGGGTAGTTACAAGTGGGGTTATAAGTAGGGTAACCATAGCTAGAACCATCTAGAACCCATATTAACGAACTTGTAACCCAGTGATAACTACCCATGAACCTCCAAGTATGTTGTGGGACTCACCTTTGGCTAGCTGCAGGACTTTGGGCCGTGGGCCTTCGCATGGGGTCGAAACGTCCAGGATCGTTTAAGGATGCAGGGCTAAGAGTTCAGGGCAGTGGGTAAACGGAGGGGGGTAGGATTGGCGAGTGAGGTTCGAAGGAGTCACGCTTCAAGCTGGAAGATGGAGGTCATGCACGGTTAATGAACGAAAATATGCAACAAAGAAAAAACGAAAGGATAGACCAAATAAAAATGCTCCCATTGATATTGACTGATATTGGGCAACTGAGGTTTGCTGAGGGCCTGCGTCATCCTGCGTCGCACACTCTCAATGCAACAGCTCTTTTTCCTCTGAATCGCCGCGCCCTTGCCCGGATCGAGTGCGGTGGCCCGTGTGGGTGTGGAGGCCACGGTGGGTGAAACATCGTGCTGGGGTTGGCGCACATGTTTGGAATAAGGAACTGAGGCCGGCCTGGTGTTTGCTTTCTCATTTAGGGGACACAGACACGCAAACCCTAAACCCTAAACCCCGAACACGAGGCCTAAATCTAGTACTACAAGTGGTATGCGAAACCGTAAAAAGAAAATCCCATCCCAACCCACATGCCATCTCGACAGCAAACAGCTTTGCAGCCCGGCCTCGCTATCCGAATCCCACTCTGCAGCCTTCCTGGCGACGAATCGCAGCAGGTTAAGTCAAAGAACGCGGCAGAAGTCCATGTCCGTTCAAGGCGCTGACATCATGCAGAACTTATAGATTAGGACTGTGTGCTATCGCTATCTTGTGCTACTACGTAGCACCACTACCACTACTGCCACAACCACCACTAAAACCAGTCTTACTACCACCCAGACTACCACTACTATCACTACTACCTGGACATCTGCAAAAAACGGCCAGGCGGACATTAGCAGTGGTGATAGTAGTCGTCGTCGTGTATTCCTGATTAGGCATAAACTACCCCAAAGGCCAAGCTAAATCTGCATACCCGTAGAGTGCCGCTTGTCCTTCAACGACTGATGCTTCGAAAGCCTGCCTCATCTACGAAAACCCTCGCAACACACGCTCTTCAATGAGGCAATGTATCAGTTACATGATATGCATTGCTTAAAACCCTGAGTCCTGGCTAAAGGATGAGTTGGACTCTGTGGGTTCTCCTGGCCTTAAACGACATGGACCGCGGCGGAGGGGCCTAACATAAACGCGCGCAGCGGCGCGCACAGAGGAGTCGGGAGTCCGCAAGAGGAGGTTGCGAAAAAGGGCCCTCCTTTGCTCATACCCCCGAGTGGATGGATGGCTGTGGCACCACAGCGAGGTCCCGCAGGACGAGCGCATGGGAAGGCCACGAAGCTGAGAAGCTTGTAGATGTTCGGCTTCCACTGAGGGGATTTAAAGGCTCCTTACAGGGTCCTATATGGGTTCCTGTACGGGCCCTTAACCTTTACGGCTTCTATAAGGGCTCAGCCTTTGCTGGCTAGGTAAACGTCATGCGTAGGGTACAGGGTATAGCTTTACAGTTTACAGTTGCGTAGAAATTATTTAATCAAGTATGAAAGCTTGGCGCTGAGGGTAAACCTGCAACCTTCACCAAAGTCTGCAAGACCCCAAAGCCCCGACACTGTGACTGCGGATCTTAGCCCCACCAAAACCTCTCAAGAACCCGCGTAGAACCACCGTATACCACTCCCTAAACCCTAAACCCTAAACAAACCCGTGAAGACTGTCAACTCGCTGAGTGCCTCCGCTTCGATGGCCCTACGGGCTCTCGCATCCACGGGTTCATGGCTACATCAAGGCAGGACAAAACTTTAAGAAGTTGATCAGAGATGCCGGCAGTTGGAAGGTTGTGAGGTTTGGTTAAGATCAGAGATTACTGGTTTAAGTTTGAAAGTCGAAGATGTCGATCTGCCCCAGAACCCCCCCCCACCAAACCCGAGAAAAAGCGAAACAAAAAAAAAAAACGTATACCACCTATAAAACCCTGTTTGAACAAATGACAGAAGCCCTAGGCCCTAACCCTGAACCCTAAACCCACCCTAAACCCCAAAACCCTAAAGCCTGAAGAAGCCCCTTAGATGACCTGCTCTTCGCTGCGGCCATGGGCCTTGCTACGGTTGACCCTAAACTATGTAGGGTTTAGGGTTATGGGAATTGTGGTATATTCCTTACTACGGGTAATGCAGGATGTATATCATCAACCGTAGTAACCTCAGGCCCCCCAGCTCTGCAGACGATCGCAGACGTAGAACAATCGATTTCGGGGTTTGGGGTAAGCCCGAAACCACTTTCTTGTGTAGGGCAGCCATAAATTCTGTCATGGGGGGTTGGGCGACATTGTAAAACCTTCACTAAAAGCCCTGATAGCAGCTTATGAAAAGCGTTACCGGCCAACGCCAAGAAAACCCTTGCTTCTGAAACCCGAACCTTTGTAGAGTCCTTCTAAAAACCCTTCAAGAACCCGTAAAGACCTTTCTAAAACCTTCATGGAAACCTTATGAAACCGTCTAAAATCTTGTCAAGAACCGTGGTAAAGCCCCTTAGGAACCCCGAAAGGAGCCCTTAACGGAACTCTATACGTCCCTGAAGGGGCCCTTCAAGGGATCTACAGGGGTTCCTCCCGAAACCCTAAACCCTAAACCCGAAAAGGGAGCCCTCTAAGACGTCCGAGGACCTCCCCACAGCCGGCAATCCCTGGGAGCTCTCTAAGGCGGACGGCAGGTGGGGCGATGGCGGGCATCGGAGACCCGAGACTAAAGGTAGTCTCGGTTTAGGGTTCAGGGGCTTAAGGTTTAGGGTTTATAGTTTAGGGGCTTAAGGTTTAAGGTTTAGGGTTTAGGGGCTTCGGCTTGGGGCGTTTAAGGCTTAGTTTAGGCGCCCGCGAATCCTGAACAAAGCCAAGCCAAAAACTACCCGAACCCGGAACGCAGAGCTGGGTCCCAAGTTGCTGGGTTCTTGTTCAGGAGTTTCACTTCAGTTACCATAGTAGGGATCTGTAATTAATCATATGGGTTTCTTTATCCTAGCAACTTAAAAGCTGCTGGGTTCTTGTTAATTAAGGAGGTTAACTTAAGTTACCACAGTAGGGATCTGTTGTTAATAATATGGTTTTCTTTTTTCTGGTAGCTTACATTACACAAGTTCCGAAAAACAAGAACCGAGGTTGACACATGCGCGACCACTCGATGAAATCCCCGCAGCTACCTTTCTAGGCTTAGGCTTTAGAACTCCAGGGTTTCGGGGTTCCTGTAGAGGGGTCTATAAGGGTTACCTTCAGGGATACGACACAGGATACTATAAGGGTACTATAGTATAGGGGCCGGAATCATGTTAACATGGGAGCTTCCGAAGATTCGAGATACCTTTTTTTGGTGTCCTTACAATAAGGATCCTACTATTTAGGGTGCTATGTTAGAGTCTCTTATTTTCGGAAACTCCCAAATAGATGATGGCTTACGACTTAAGGAGCGCAGACCAAGCCGAGGCAAGCCAATCCAGACAAAACAAAACACACAGACAAACAAAAACAAACCAGAACAGGACAGGACAGCGCAAAACACCTGAGCGAACAAACACAGAACTTAGATGGTACCAGTAGCACGAGTAGCTGGACGATTGCTGCTCCTCAAGGGCCCAACGGTGCCAGTGCCTTGCCACAACCGACAGAAATGCCTCCGAGCTAAGTGCAGGAAGAGGTCTCCGGGATCAGGGCCCCTTTTGTGGACCCTGGGTACCCAAACTAGCCCCTGCCACCACGAAAAGGGACCCGTTCGTGGAGATCCCTCCCTGCTTTCTTGTGCCCGTGCATTCACACACGGCGCATCTATGGTGAGACGTTATCCGGAGCGCTGACCTCTTGGAAGACCTCCTTTTTGCAGCACGGCGCTGGCAGCATACCAGATAAACTGCAACATGAAACCTTGACCCTACAATAAGCTGAGCAACGCTTCTGACGACATACCTGCTCGCAAAATCTACAGCAGCTCCAGTTGCACTGGAACATAAAGTCTGCCGGCCGGCTGCAGGCTAGATTGCTGCACGCTCCGAAGAGATGCTCTCCTGCCCTGTGAGGTGCACGGTTTAGGGTTTAGGGCTTTTAGGGTTTAGGGTTTAGGGTTTGGGGTTTAGGGTTTAGGGTCCAGAAGTAAGTAGTACAGCACGCGTGTATGGAAGTGTGTGTGTGTGTGGTCGTGTGAAATGTCATATCACGAAACATGTTGATGCTCATACCTGTGCCTATCTACCAACCACTATGGGCTATTAGACCCTAAAGATCCCTATTAGGACCCTATTAAGGGTAGATTAAGGTACCCATAAGGTCTATTAGAGTCTAATAGCCCATAGTGGAACCTACCCATCTACCTATCTATCTATCGATCTATCGCTCCATCGATCTATCGATCGATCAACCAATCTGTCTATCGATGTGCCTACCTCTCTATCTATAGGGTTTAGGGTTTAGGGTACTTCTGAACCTATCCATCTATCGATCCATCTAACGATCTATCTGTCTATCTATCTGTCTACCTCTCTATCT